TGTCAATGAATGTAGACAGAGAAATGATTGGCTAAAATGGAAGGAAGCAATTCAAACAGAATTGGCTTCACTTGAAAAACGTGAAGTTTTTGGACCAATAGTCCGAACACCTGAAGGTGTCAAGCCAGTGGCACACAAATGGGTTTTTGTGCGAAAACACAATGAAAATGATAACATCGTAAGATATAAAGCACGACTTGTGGCACAAGGTTTTTCGCAAAGGCCTGACATTGATTATGAGGAGACATATTCTTCTGTGGTAGATGCAATTACCTTCAGGTATCTAATAAATATGACAGTTCATGAAAAGCTTGAAATGCATCTAATGGACGTTGTCACAGCCTATTTATATAGCTCACTAGACCACAATATTTTATGAAAATCCCCGAAGCACTAAAAGTGCCTGAAGCATATAAAAATTCAAAAGAAAGTTGTTCAATAAAGCTTCAGAAATTTTTATATGGATTGAAACAATCAGGGAGAATGTGGTATAATCGTCTTAGCGAATACTTGTTAAAGGAAGGGTATCAGAATGACCCTATTTGTCCTTGTATTTTTATACGAAGGTCAAAATCTGAATTTGTAATAATATCTGTTTATGTTGATGACTTGAACATCATCGGAACTCCTAAAGAGCTTTCAAAAGTTGTTGAGTGTTTGAAGAAAGAATTTGAAATGAAAGATCTTGGTAAGACAAACTTTTGTCTTGGCCTTCAGATTGAACATTTGACAAATGAAATATTTATCCATAAATCAACATATACTGAAAAGGTTTTGAAGCGATTTTACATGGATAAGTCACACCTATTGAGTACCCCTATGGTTGTGAGATCTCTCGATATAAAGAAAGATCCATTCCGACCCCAAGAAAAGGATGAAGAGATTCTTGGTGATGAAACACCATATCTCAGTGCTATCGGGGCACTAATGTACCTTGCCAACAATACCCTATCAGATATTTGCTTCGCAGTAAGTTTGTTGGCGAAATTCAGCTCATGTCCAACAAAAAGACATTGGAAAGGTGTTAAGCATATATTCAGATATCTTCAAGGAACAATTGATATGGGGTTGTTGTATTCTAATGCATCCAAGTTAGAATTGATCGGTTATGCAGATGCGGGATATTTGTCTGACCCACAAAAAGCTAGATCTCAAACAGGCTATTTATTCACATATGGAGGTACAACTATATCATGGCGTTCGATGAAGCAAACAATAGTTGCTACCTCTTCAAATCATGCAGAGATAATAGCCATTCATGAAGCCAGTCAAGAGTGAGTATGGTTGAGATCAATGACTCAACATATTTTGCAATTATGCAATCTTTCTGTGCAAACAAAGACTCCAACAATATTGTATGAAGATAATGTTGCTTGCATAGCTCAATTAAATGGAGGATATATCAAGGGAGACCGAATAAAACATATTTCACCTAAGTTCTTTTTCACACATGATCTTCAACAAAATTGTGAGATAAATGTTCAACAGATTTGTTCGAGTGATAATCTTGCAGATTTATTCACTAAGGCATTGCCAACGTCAACATTTGAGAAGTTACGATATAAGATTGGAATGCGTCGTCTCCAAGATATCAAATAAAGTTTTCATCAGGGGGGATAAAATACGTGTTGTACTCTTTTTTCCTAGCCAAGGTTTGTCCCA